CCCCCCCCCCCCCCCCAGTAGTATAGGCATTCGTTAAGGCCCCTGTATTTTGGTTGCAAGCGTGGCCTGGATGCAGAGGTGGCCGCTGACCTGGTTGTCGTTCCTCGGCTTAAAAAGACCCGAAGAGAAGATTGGGGTTTCGGCTTAAGGGCGCGTTGGGTGTCTATAGTACCCTAAACCCTAAACNNCCCTAAACCCTACACCCTAAACTCGAAACCCTAAACCGGAGTCTATAGAAGCTCTAGGGATGTAGGATGCTGGGGGGTTTGGGATGTTGGAGCTTTGAGGCTTGGAGGCTTCGGGAGGGTTCTATCGTAAGGATATTGAGGTCCGGATCCGTGGGGTTTGGGTTTGGTGCTTAGGGTTTAGGGTTTAGGGCTTAGGATTTAGGATTTTCAGGACCGAAGGATTTCATTTCAAGCTCTTCTCTGTCCAGCCCGCACTTCTCAGGTGAAGGCCTATGCGGTTGAGCATGGGAGCTTCGAGGCAAGGGTTTAGCCTAGGGCTTAGGGTTTAGGGTTTAGGGCTTAGGGCTTAGGGTTTAGGGTTTCGGGACAATACACCAAAAATACTGGTGACCATGACACTAAACCTTAATCCCGGCAACCCAAGCCCTAAACCTTCAACCCCAAGCCCTAACCCCAACGAAACCCGAAACCCGAAACCCCTAAAGCCCGCTCCATGCCTCAAATTAACGAAGACCCGAGCCCGAAAACCCCAAACCCGAAACCTTAACCCCTAAACCCCTAGACCCCTAAACCCTAAACCCTAAACCTCTAAAACTCTAAAACCCCTAAACCCCGAAGCCTAAACCCGAAACATTCAACTCCCCATTCCCGAAATCGGCACGTTTGGCCTCGGCGCCGAGGATCCTGATCTCAGGACCACCCTGAAGTTGGAAGAAGCCCGGCCTAGCAGGATTTTGGGTTGAGGGTTGGGTTAGGGTCTTAGGGTTTAGGGTTTAGGGTGTTCAGTTTAGGGTTTGGGGTTTGGGGCTTAGTTTAGGGCTTACGGCTGGAAGCGTTTGCAGGGCTTAGGAATTCTAGCTTATAGGTTTTGGCTTGTGTCTTTTTATTGTGGCGTGTTCGGGGTGTTGTATTTACATTTTATGGCAAACGAGCTCATGGAAGTTACGGCCGGATCAGATTCGGTGAACACTGCAGACCCCCCTTACGGGAAATAAGCGAGGGATCCTAATATTAAATACCGTGGAAGGCAGGGGATTTGTCACTCAGCGGCTTAATTACTCCTGTCTTCGCTCTGCATAGCCAGCCTGCATCTGTGGCAGCCCGTCTCCATCGTATCCAGGTATCCTGGAGCAGGGACAGAGAAGATAATATGGGCGAAGGAGATCTGGGAGTTTCCAAAAATTAGGGTACCGGGGGTCCTTATAATAAGGATCCTATTATTTAGACCACCATCTAGTGAGAACCCATGCAACACAGTCGATGGACATCACCTTGCAATGGTCCATCCGAGGCTGCAGTTGAAGGAACTCGTCAGAATTAGAAAGGCACAAGAAGACTGGAGTCAGCTGATGTGCACCCGCGTAGACTGTCTCTATGCGAGCTGTGGGCTCTGCTTCCTGTCCGACCGTCAGTGACATCAGACATCGGGAAGTCCCTCACAGCAGCTCTCTATCTCGCTCTTGGCTCCTTCCAAGCCGTTGTCACAGGTCAATCTCTGGATCTTCCTCGCGAGATAGAGCACATGCGTGCGCATGCAGGCGGGTGTGCGTGCTGGAGTGTGTGTGTGTGTGTGTGTGTGTGTTGTGTGTTGTGTGTGTGTGTGTCTGTCGGTCTTCACATAGCTTTACGTTTTTATATACACACACCTACATAGTTCTGTATGCTTCGTTCCTTATAGTACTTGAAACCTGCATGCGCATCCTTGTCGGCGCCATCAATGAAGCCGTTGTGCCTGACGGCGCAGCTATGATCTGCTTGTAGCCATTTCTCACTATGATGTATCACGTTGGCATCCAACCTGCTTGTCGCTGACTCTCCGAGCCTACGAGTTATCACTGAAAGAGCTGGCAGACGCTCGTGGAATTCGATGATTGACGCATACCTGTGGTGAGTGCGGAAACTGCCCTGTCATAGTGACAGGGGGTTGCTGCAAATCGGGGTTCCCTCTAACAAAGCACCAGTCCTTTGAAAGGAATGATTCAAGACATGTCACAAGCAAAAGGCACATTCAAGCACAGCAGTCTGCTGATTCAATTAGCCGGCCTGTTACTGAGACGTCCGTGATCCGGATTCGCGTCGCACATTGGATCTGCGGCGCCGTCGCGTTGATGAAAGTCATCATCCTCATTCAACACGCTAAACGCGAAAACAGCCTAAAGCCATCCTAACCCTTCAACCGGCCTAAACCCCACACCACCCCAAACCCTAAAGACCATCCTGTACCCTAATCATCCTAAATCCCTAAACTCCCTAAACCACCCTAAACCCAGAGTGGAAGGTACTCGTGCGACCCTTTTGGTGGAGCCCCATGTCTTCCCATCATAGACTTGCTTTTGCTAGCACATGGATTTCGGTCCCGCGGCTTTCGTTTTAAGGTTTCAGGAATCCAAGCCTTGAGATTTCAGCATATTTCGGACCTTTGCAACTTCACACAGAATCTCAAAGCTTCAGACTGCGGCACAGGCGGGGAGGGTGAGGGCGTCGCGCTCGGCCTCAACATGATCATCATAATTAATCATCGTCCTCATCCTCATCGTCCTCGTCCTCATGCTCACCATCAACAGGGATGGCAGGCATGTGTAGAGGGGTCCGTTGGCAGGGTAAATCTTCAGCAGTTCGTGCATGATCCTGAGCTGACGAAAATGCAAGTCCAACAGGCCCTTCAAGAACCTCACGCGTCATTCCCAAACACCCTCAGAACATTCAGTGGTTCGAAAAAGTCGCATTGACACCCGAAGCATCATACACTACTTTCGAGACTTGTACGTCAAAACCGTAGACAGCACCCGCCGGCATTCTGATCATCATTGTTGTCGTCGTGGCCATCGCTACCGCAACCCCTTTGTGCCCCAAAGGGTCCATGCATCAGCATAGGAGGCTCGTCGCAGATAGCTGGACTCCAAAAGAAAATATTGTACTTGATACTTGGACTCGTTTTCCTGATGCAGCCGGAGTACGAAGCGCGGAAAGCCCGTTGCATACAGAACACCTCGGGTCCACTCCGGCTCCGCTTCCCGTGCAAAGGGCACGGACTGGCTTTAGTGTCTTTTGGCCTTTCATAAGCCCTTATGTGGATTGAATCAGGTCCTGTAAGCAGAAGTGATGGTGATGGCGATCATGACGACAATGCTGCGGCTGCTATAGCTAGTGGTTTTCTTTACGACCATGCTGGTAATGCTGATGAACCTGACGATGATGATAATCACATGGTCCATCACATGGCTGGCGCTCTGTCCGGAGTTAGCCTTTTGGAGTGACGCAACAACTTCGCAGCTCTGCAAAACTAGAGCCCATTGACCCGAAACCCTTGACCCTAAACCCTAAACCCTATATATATACCCTAAACCCTAGACCCTGTGCCATGCCACCCCTCCGTTCGGCACTGAGGCATTGATGATCGTCACAGGTTTGTCCTGAGCTTGAGCTCTGAGGCGACGCCAAGAACCCCGTATAGGGTTTAGGGTTTAGGGTATAGGGTTTAGGGTTTAGGGTTCAGGGTTTAGGGTTTAAGGGAGCTATCCCAAACACACCAAAGGCTATAGCCTGCGGTAAATCAGCAGAGCTACCGCGGACAATCGAGGTTTGGGGTGGTAGGGCTCCAGCGCTGAGAGCTTGCAGATTTCGGGCTAGAGCTCCTTCCCATCTAGAGGTGAATTGTAATTACCCCAAGGGTCCATGTACTTCTGTAGCATATACATGGGCCTTAAAGTACCTACATAGGGACTACATTAAGGCCAATGTATATACTATATGCGTACATGGACCCTTAGGGTAATTACAAACATCGTCACATTTCAGCACTCTAGACTGCTGTGAGTGCCTATACATGACTGTTATACCCCGGTAAGGGGCTCAGTGCTCCCGGGTCTGTGCCTTAAGGATTGCAGATTCAGCAGCTCAAGTGTTCATAAGTAAGGCTGTCTCCTTTTGGGCTTCGCGAAATGCTAGGTGGTCCTTGGTCTGAGAATATAGGGGCCTTGTATGAATTGGAATAAGGTTTTGGGGTATAATATTATATAAATATCATACGGAAGCCCCAAAACCCTATTCTAATTCTTAAGGCCCCTACATTCGTGCTGTTCGGGCATTTCGAGCTCAAGGCTCCGGGGGCCCCCTCTGGGCTGTAGTAGGTCTACCGGTCCTAAACCCTAAACCCTACAGCCGGAAACTACGACGTTTTGGGATTTTGAGGGCTGCAATCCGAGCACGCAGCGAAGGAGACGCAAGTTCTCTGAAGACAGCCGAAAGCCGATGTTTGAGTAGGGCTCAGGGTGTAGGGTTTAGGGTTTAGGGTTTGAGGGGTGGGGCTTACGGCTTTACGCCTGGAAAAAAATGGGCCTACTGGATTGACTGTGCCCGTCACAGGCAAAGATCCCCAAGCCCAGAGCAGCACATACAAAGGCCGGGGCAACTCTTGAGGTCTATGCTTTGGCGCTGTAGGGCTGTCGGGTTTACGGCCTAGTCAAGTCATAGAAGCGGCCCTGATGTAGATTTCGGACAGCTTGCTCCAAAAGTGTCCCGAACCCCTAAACACACACACACACTAAAAGAGGGAATTAGAGTAGGGTTTCGGGGTCACTGGTACTAAATACAAATAAACTTATGGGAGCTTTAATGGAGTACTATTGCTACCATGTTTGCGATTCTTGCTACCCTTTACTGATATTACTGTTACTACAAATGTTACTACAAATGTTACTACTACTACTACTACTACTACTACTAGTACTACTACTACTACTACTACTACTACTACTACTACTACTACAACTACGACTACTACAACTACTACAACTACTACAACTACTACAACTACTACAACTACTACGACTACGACTAC